TGCAGCTGCAGTAAGTTCCTGGAACTCTGTAACTGTAAAAACCTGTTTTACAGGAGATGTTTTCCTTGATAAGTTTCTCCAGGTACAGACCCCACGGCCTCCCCGTCCAGCCCCAACAGCAGGAAAGTATTCTGTTCGTCTGCGTTCTTTGCCCTTTATAAGCTGTCCCTCTGCGGCCATCAGGCTGCTGCTTGCGCTCACTCCGGACCTGAGTTCCAGCCGCGCCAACCCAATAAAGTCTTGCTTTGCCAGAGTCCTCTCTGTGTCTGTTTGCTGTGATACCCCCGCCCCCTTTTTATCTAACAATCACAACAGTGTATTTACTCAACATGTTTTGAGTCCAGAGTGTACTCTGAAAAAATGTTGGTTCCTTTAGTGGGTCCGTACTGATACTTTACCTCTCCTGGGTCTCAGGCGACTGCTCTAAAGGAAAGAGAGGACGATGGTATTTGGGGAATGCAAACTGCTTTAGAAATGTCTCCATGGGCGGGTCACATTCGGCTCCATCTGACACAGCAAGAAGGAATGGATACTCTCCTGGTTTGTCTCTCCACTGCTGTGACAAAACACTCTGACCACTACCAGCTTGGGGAGGAAAGGGTTTATTTGTCTTACATCTCCGGGGTCACAGTTCATCAGGGAGCCCAAGGTAGGAACTCAGGGCAGGAACCTGGAGGCAGGAGCTGGAGCACAGGCCATGGAGGAACGCTGCTTACTGGCTTGCTCCCCTGGCCCCTGCTCAGCCTGCTTTCTTATGCAACACAGGCCCATCTGCCCAGGGGTGGCACCACCCACGGCGGGCTGGGCGCTCCCCCTCCCCCTGCCTCGCCTCCCACATCACTCATCAAGATGCCCCTGAGACATGACCACAGGCCAGTCCAATACAGGCAGTCCCCCAATTGAGGCTCCCTCAACCCAGATGTGTGAAGTTGACACTAAAGCTATCCAGCACAGGAGGCCAGGACCAGACTCCGGGGTCAGGACCACGGTCTGGGGGCAGGATCAGGCTCAGGGTTCAGGATCAGGCTCAGGAGTCAGGACCTGGCCTTGGGGTCAGGACCAAGGTCTGGAGTCAGGACCAAGATCAGGGGTCAAGACCAAGGTCTGGGGGTCAGGACCAGGCTCAGTAGGTCAGGACCAGACTCTGGGGTCAGGACCAGGGTCTGGGGTCAGGACCGGGGTCTGGGGTCAGGACCAGGCTCAGAGGTCAGGACCAGGATCAGATTTCAGGACCAAGGTCTGGGGTCAGGGCCAGGATCAGGGGTCAGGACCAAGGTCTGGAGTGAGGACCAGGCTCAGGGGTCAGGACCAGGCTCAGAAGTCAGGACCAGGCCTTGGGGTCAGGACCAAGCTGAGAGGTCGGGACCAAGATCAGGTTTCAGGACCAGGCTCAGTAGGTCAGGACCAGACTCTGGGGTCAGGACCAGGATCAGGGGTCAGGACCAGGCTCAGGAGGTCAGGACCAGGCTCCAGGGTCAGGACCAGGCTCAGGGGTCAGGATCAGGATCAGGGGTCAGGACCAGGGTCAGGGGTCAGGACCAGGCTCAGGAGGTCTCTTAGTTTGTTTCTCCATTGCTGTGACAAAATACTCTGACCAATACCAACTTGGGGAGGAAAGGGTTTATTTGTCGTACAACTCCCAGGTCGCAGTTCATCAGGGAGCCCAAGGTAGGAACTCAGGGCAGGAACCTGGAGGCAGGAGCTGGAGCACAGGCCATGGAGGGACGCTGCTTACTGGCTTGCTCCCCTGGCCCCTGCTCAGCCTGCTTTCTTATGCAACACAGGCCCATCTGCCCAGGGGTGGCACCACCCACAGTGGGCTGGGCTGGGCCCTCCCACATCAAGATGCCCCTCAGACACGGCCACAGGCCAGTCCAATACAGGCAGTCCCCCAATTGAGGCTCCCTCAACCCAGGTGTGTCAAGTTGACACTAAAGCTATTCAGTACCTCATCTAGACCATCCCAGTGGTTCGCGTGTTACTAATCGGAGCCGGCAGCACCTTGTGTCCCGCTGAGGAACACCTCTGCCACAGAGGGCTGAACCCTGCCACGTCATTCATTATTGAAGAAATCTCTCATTCAGAAGAGACAGGCAAATCTGACCGAGGAGATTCTTCAGTTGACATTCCGCCTTTCCACGTGACTCAGAGTTGTGCTGCTACCCAAAATAACCAACCGGGACAAAAATATCTACATGTACCGTCAGTAAGTCTCTCGGTTGTCTTTTTCTTTCGGTTTGGCTTGGTTTCATGTTTTGTTTTTTGGAGACGGGTGTCCCTGTAGCGCCAGCTGCCGTAGAACTCGCTATATAGACCAGGCTGGCCTCGAGCTCACAGAGATCCGCCTGCCTCCGCCTCCCGGGTGCTGGAATTAAAGGCGTGCACCACCACGCCTGGCATTAAAAATATACTGTAATTCTTATTATGAGATATAAAATGTATTTATCAAATCTGTAATCATTATGCCAAAAAATCTGAATTACTGTAATATTTTGCATATTGTTAAAACTGTAACTTTAATTGTAAAAAAATTTAAAATAAAAAAATATACTATAATTCTTATGATTCCCGGATTCCCAAAAGGTGATGGGAAAACACATTGGGGCCGAGAAACGTGCTGGTTTTCTTTGATTTTAAGGTTGAATAGTGCTTACCATCTGACCTCATAACTATAAGACAGTATTACGGGGCCCGTTTAGGTAAGGCAGGATGCTGTATTCCACCCATGGGATGCGTTCAAATTCAAGGTCTCTCCTACATCTTGGAAGTCTACATATCTGACTTCAACAGTTTCTGCCATAAATTACACACTCAACCTCCTAAAAATCCATTTCAATGCGTTGCCTTTGATTTTGGATATCCTCTGAGGATACATTGAATTTTGTGACCTGGAGTTCAAATGTAGATTGAAATTATCAGTCCTATTGGAGAACACGTTCTTGAAAATCTTCTCCATATCATGTTCGTGAACAGAAATACATTAAGGCTAATTAGAAATCTTTGAAATATTCTGTCTTGCTGTTTATTTATTGACGATGTGCTTCTCCGGATGTACCTGGACGCATCCATGCCGAGGCACGGCGGTATTTGAAAAGGAGGACCAGGAAGACAACCGGCAGAGACAATCTCAAGTAGAGACTCTCAAACTGTGCGTCGAAAGGCATCCGATTCCTAGCATGTTACCGAGGAGAGAACTGTGTACGTCTATTATTGCTTTTCTGTATACATTGGCACAGAAATACGTTTACAAATGTGTCAGCCGTGGCTTGAATTTCTTAAGGATGCTGGGCTTGCACCTGTTACACATACGTCAGTGTGAGACTGAGGAGATTTGCAGTCAGTAAAATGGTTGCTGTGCAACCCTGAACACCTGACTTTGGATCCTCAAAACCCAATTTAAAAGGCTGGGTGAGGCGGCACACGCCTGTGTCCGCACCACGGTAAGGCTATAGGAAACATCGTAGGGACACACTGAAATTTTTCTTGCATTAGATGTGTAGGTCAGGGGAGAGGAGAGGAGAGAGAAGAGAGAGGGGGAGAGAGGAGAGGAGAGAGAGGAGAGAGAGGGGGAGAGGAGAGGAGAGAGAAGAGAGAGAAGAGAGAGAGGGGGAGACAGAGAGGGAGAGAGGGGGAGGAGAGAGAGGACAGAGAGAGAAAGGGAGAAAGAGGAGACAGAAAGGGAGAGAGGACAGAGAGAGGAGAGAGAGGGAGAGACAGAGAGAGAGGGAGAGACAGAGAGAGAAGAGAGAGGGGGAGGAGAGAGAGGAGAGGGGGGAGAGAGGGAGAGGAGAGGAGAGAGAGACGGGGAGACAGAGAGGGAGAGAGGGGGACGAGAGAGAGGACAGAGAGAGAAAGGGAGAAAGAGGAGACAGAAAGGGAGAGAGGACAGAGAGAGGAGAGAGAGGGAGAGACAGAGAGAGAGGGAGAGACAGAGAGAGAAGAGAGAGGGGGAGGAGAGAGAGGAGAGGGGGAGAGAGGAGAGAGAGAAAGGGAGAGAGAGGAGAGAGAGGAGACAGACGGGGAGACAGAGAGAGGAGAGAGAGAGGAGAGGGGGAAAGACAGAGAGAAAGGGAGAGAGAGGAGACAGAGAGAGGAGAGGGGGGAGACAGAGAGAGAGAACACTAAAAGATGCGGTTTGTCTAAGTCTGGAATGACAGAAAAGATTATCAAATGTAGTTTTTTTCTATGTCTGAGAAAATGACACGGGGGAGGGAGGGACAGGGCGAGAGAGAGAGAGAGAGAGAGAGAGAGAGAGAGAGAGAGAGAGAGACAAGAGAAGAGGAGAGAGAGAGGACAGAGAGATGGGGAGACAGAGAGAGAGAAAGAGAGAGAGAACACTAGAAAATCAGATGGGGGAATTTTTCTTGCATTAGATGTGTAGGTCAGGGGCTGGAGAGACGGCTCAGTGGTTAAGAGCACTGGATGCTCTTGCAGAGGCCCAGGGTTCAGTCCCCAGAGCGCACGTGAGGCAGCGCACAACCATCTGTAACTCTAGCTCCAGGACATGTGACACCCTCCCCTGGCCTGCAGGAGCACTGCACTCGGACATACATACACAGACAGATAAATAAAAACGGAAATACAGGCCCCAGACGTGGGCCAGAGGTTAAAAGCACTTGCTGCTCCTGCAGACGTCCTGGGTTTGTTACCCAGCATCCTTGATGGGCAGCTGACAGCCACCTGTCAATCCACCTCCAGGACATTCAACAGCCTTTTCTGGCTCCTGTGGATACCCACACACATCCATACAGAAACAGGAAATCAATTAATCAATTAGTTCATTAAAATATAAAATATTAAGGTGGGGATAGTGGCGCACGCCTTTAATCCCAGCGCTCGGGAGGCAGAGGCGGGCGGATCTCTGTGAGTCGCGGACCAGCCTGGTGTTCGTAGCGGGTCCCAGGCCAGCTGGGGCTACAGGGAGGCCCGGTGTCAAAAAAGACAAACGATAAAATAAAATATAAGAAATTAGAAATGTTACCCACCTGTTCTGTTGATCCGGTAGGATTTCAGGGTGGTGCCTGAGGCCGTTGAGCTCTTTCATAGATGTCAAAATTTGGGTTTTTGGACTATAATGGAACAGGATTAACATGGAAGTGAGAGAAGAGTAACTTTGTCCCAGCAATTAAAGGCTATATTCTTGTCATGTGGAAACTGTCATCACAGCTGTTTGAACAGTCAGGAGGACTAGACCACGATCCTGTGCAAACGACCCTGCACGGCCTCTGGATGCGTTGAGCACGGTGCTCTCGGTGCTTTTCCCACTGTGACCTGTGACTTGGTGTACAGGGATTCGCACAGGTGTGTGTGAGTTTTTCCACTCCTGCGGCTAAGCCTCAGGCACACGTCTTCAAAAACTGACCTGAGCGTGTCAGGAGAAGCCAATATGCACCTTGTGTCCCAATGCCGTTTACCGTGAGGACAGAGATTCGGGGACAGATGCCATCACCTCCAGTCTGTCGACTCAGAAGGACACCAGGCCCCGGATTCTGAAGTGTGGATGGGCATAAAGCCTCAGGGTTGAGAGTGCCCGGCTCTAATCCCGGCACTGGGGAGGCAGAGGCAGGAGGACCTCTGTGAGTTCGAAGCCAGCCCGGTCTACAGAGCGAGTTCCAGGCCAGCTGGGGCTGCGGGGAGGCCCTGTCTCCAAAAAACATGTTTTTTTAAAGCAGAGAGACAAGGCTGAGTTTGGAGGAATTCCTGGCTGTCGGCACACGCAGCTGTGAACACGCAGGGCACGAATCATGCCCAGACACGGACATGACACGGACATGACACGGTCACATGCCAGAGCACCCGGACCTTCAGGGCTTGGAACCGCACAGACAGAGCTTGGGGTGTTCGGTGCACAGCATTGAACTGTGCGTCTCCATTAGACATCCGAGAACGCTCCCTGCCCAGCTTCACGGGTCGGTGCACACGGGCCGACCAGGATGTAAGGAGACCTGGTGCTTCGGGCCACACAGGCCGTCAGAGCGAGGAGAGGAGCGGCCGGCGTCCGGCTCCGTGCCAGCGGCCAGCGGCGGGGCCGCAACATGAAGCTCATCCTGCTGATGGTCGCGTCCGCTCTGCTCTGCGTTTCCTGCAGACAAAATAAGGACATCATGGAAAAGGTACCGGACACTGCTGTAAGGGGACCGTGAGAGAGGGGG